TACCCAAAATTTTGGTCGTTTTTGGACCGCCAAAATTCGATTTTTGATCCGATCAAAAAATCGATAGTTCATTTTACGTAAAACTATATATAGAACATGTATAAAAATCGATAGTGATCGGATCATTTGTTTTTGAGTAATCGCTGCAGCAATTTCGGAAAATACTTTTTCGAGAAAAACGCGTTTAAAGATAAAATGATCGTTGTACTATATACTATATATACTCTTTAAATGGCTGTGACTCAAAAACTATTTAAGATATCGATTTAAAATTTTGGTATGTTATTTTTAAAGGTATATCCTGTAGAAATATGGAAAAATTGAAAATTCGATTTTTTGAAATTTCACACTAGTTGTGCCCTTAATTCGAACCACTAGATTATTATATTATTTTATATTGCATCAAAGTTGATTAGAATTGCTACAAAATTGATGGGAATTACACTTTCTTATGTGAAGTTTTAATAATGTTAATTCGAATCATCGTCTTTTGCATATAGTTATTTTTAAATTCTTGCAAAGTTGATTCGAATCGACTTAAACTCTACATTATAAATAAATAAATCATTTATTACATACTTAAAAAAAATAACTTGTGGATATTCAAATCCAGCCAGTAATACTTGATTCGAAGCCTTTTTGTTTTTATTTAAAACGTGATAAATTTGAATTGATTCAATTCATTCAATTTTTATTCCAACCGAACTAGTAACTTGTTTCTAAATATAAGATTTCACATGAAATTTATTTATTGCAATGAGTTAATTCAATTTTTATTACAACCTTATGTCTTCGTTGTAATTCCAAATAATTTTACGTAGTGATTCGAATCAACTTTTAAGTTATACGATTTAATTTTGCATTTAACAAAATAATTACATATGGTATTTTTAATTCTGTTTTAAGTATTGATTTTTTAATATTAGATTAGACAAATTCGATTACTTTCAAGTCGACTTGAATCAATTGTTTTCGATTCAAATCATTAGATAAAACATTTAATATCATTTATTATATTAAAATAACATTTTTATAAAAATTGTTGAAGAGTTATAAATTATATTAAAATTGTTAAAAATATCTAGTCAAGCACAAATGTTGTAGCACAATTTAAAAAAAACATCTGTGAACGCACAATTTATGGAAGTGCATTTATTTTCAATAATCTATAAAAATATTTAAGATAATTTTTATATTATCTACTGAATCTAGATTTTTATTACCTATTTTATAATTATGGAAATTCATTTAATTATTCGACTCGTAGAAATCGATTTTAGTATTTGATTTGTATTATGCGACTTTTATATTTTGTATTGACTAATATCATGATTCGAATCGTATTATCAGATTTAATGGCTCGAATCGTTTGATTCGAATCGTATTAGTCGATTTTACGATTCGAATCAACAATATGTATTTATTTTATCACACGGCATTTTCCTAGATTTAATTTTTTTATAATAGTCTATGTTTCTAATCTTATAGGAAACAATTTTTATTATGTTATTGAAGGTTAGTGCTTAATTATAGTGTTAATAAAATTTAAAATTTTATCAACTTGTTATAGAATAATTATAGTTTTAGTCAAATAAGCGTCACAACTATTATAGTTACCACCTTAAGGCTTTAATAAAAATGGTTTAAGCTATATATGTATATATTAGGGTGGTCCTCAATATGGACATTTTCGAATTTTCTTGCTCCCAAGGGCTCAAATGGTTCCAAATTGATAAAAGAAAACTCTCTAAAAGTTTTAACCTTTTATATTAACTCTAACATAGTCCGCACTCCAACCAAAGGTTTTTATTCTTTTTCCTCAGTAAATGCTTATTTTATAAAATATATCAATTTTTTGCTGTAAATTTTTTATTCATGATCAAAATAAGCAAATACAATGTTATTCTCAAAATTTTGATTTACTTGTTACTAAGTTATAAAATTCGAAAAAACAAATGGAATTTTACCCATGTTATTTCCATAAGAAACTTTAGTTGGAGTGCGGACTATCTAAAAGTTAATATTAAAAGCAAAAACTTTTAGAGAATTGTTTTTTATCAATTTGGAACCATTTGAGCCCCTGGGAGAAAAAAATTCGAAAATATCCATTTTGAGGACCACCCTAATATATATACAATTGTTAGAATTTGTACAGAGTTTATTATATATTTATATATATTATATTTAATAGATTTATATTTAATAGTATTATCGATTGACCTAAACCACAGGCCTATGCTCATTTACACACACAGACATGGTTTCGGAATAAAAATTGCAAAAAGCTAAAATTTAATTAAATTTAAAGAATAAAAATGGTGTACAAAATTTGTTGAATAAAATCTATTGATTTATATTTGGATTTATAAAATTTTAAATTAACTAATTTTGCCCAAGGCAGCCTTTGCACACTCCACTTGACGACGTTAAATTATTTAATTTAAAAAAATACAAACACTACAATTTTTATATGACCGTACAGTTAGACTTTATGAAGGCTGCTGGACAGTTTTTTGGTTTTGATTTTCATTAAAAATTTTTTCAATGGCAGCTTTTACGCACTCCACTTGATGACAAGACTTTGAATTTTATAACAAAAAAATATACTAACACTAAATTTTTTTGATATAACTTAGCAGTTACAGTTAAACTTTGTGAAGGCTGTTTCATAAATTATTTGGTATCGGTATTTATTACAATTTTTCCGGTTTGGCAGCATTTCCGCCATTTTGTCAAAAATTTTACTTTGATCAAAATGAAGCTTGTACATATATAAATACATTAGTTTTTGTTTCGTTCAAATCCACAAAGTAGTTTAGATTCTACAGCACTTTTCAGTTGCATAATTTTCAATGGCAGCCTTTACGCACTCCACTTGACGACAACATTTTGAATTTTTAAGTAAATACTTATACTAACACTAACATGTTTTCATATGACTTAGGAATTAGCAGACAAACTTTGTGAAGGCTGTTTGACAAATTATTTAGTATTGATATTTATTACATTTTTTTCCGGTTTAGCAGCATTTCCGCTATTTTGCCAGAACTACTACTTTGGTCAAAATAAATCTTGTACATATATAATAAATACATTAGTTTTTGTTTCATTCAAATCCACCAAGTAGTTTAGATTCTACAGCACTTTTCAGTTGTATGATTCGAAGCAAACCAAATACGATGTTTAGACAATTTTCATGGGCAGCCTTTACGCACTCCACTTCACAAAATCTATACGAATTTTTAATTAAACACTTATACTAATACTACATTTCTTTGAGTTGACCTTTCTTTGACTTTATTTGAATAGACGTTCTTTGAAAAATTTTCGGTATCGATCATTATTAATTTTTTTTCCGGTTTAGCAACATTGATTTGTAAATGGCGGACATTTTTTCAAAATTTCTACTTTGGTCATATTGAAGTCTGTACATTTATAAATACATTAGTTTTTGTTTCATTCAAATCCACCAAGTAGTTTAGATTCTACAGCACTTTTTAACTTGTATGATTCGAATCAAATGACTTTGTGATATGAATCGTTTTGTTTGAGTTCGTGATTGGATTAAATTTTAAAATTAAAAATAGTATATGAAATTTTTTGCAGCCTTTGCATACTCCACTTGACTAAAAAAGACGTGAGAATTTTTATTTAAAATATATATACAAACACTAATATTAAGTTATTTGTTGGTCGTATAAACATATTTCGCCAATGGCAGCCTTTACACACTCCACTTGACGTAAGAATTTTTATTTTAAAAAACTATTACTATAACTAACACTAAACCTTAACAAACACTAAAATTAGGTTATTTCTAGTTTTCAAATGATTTAGCAAACTTTGTGAATACTGCTTAACAAATTTTCGGTTTAGATATTTATTACACCGATTTAGCAGCAATATTTTTATTTTCCAAATTTAATTTTAAGCGTTAAATTAAAGGTTGTACATATATAAATAAATTAGTTTTTGTTTCATTCAAATCCACCGAGTAGTTTAGATTTTATATTAGATTCGAATTAAATCAAATGCAATGTTTAGACAATATTTATTGGCAGCCTTTACGCACTCCACTTGACAAAATCCATACGAATTTTTAATCAAACACTTGTACTAATACTAAATTTTTCGAGTTGACTCAGTAATTATAATTAGATTTTATGAAGAGACTTTATTAGACTGTTTGACAAGTTTTTGGTATTGTTATTTATTACATTTTTCACCGATTTAGCAGCATTTCCGCAATTTTTTCAAAATTTCTACTTCAGTCAAAATGAAGTTTGTACATTTATAAATACATTAGTTTTTGTTTCATTCAAATCCACCAAGTAGTTTAGATTCTACAGCACTTTTAAGTTGTATGATTCGACAAATCGATTCGAATCAAATGACTTGTCGATTCGAATCAAATGACTTTGTGATTCGAATCGTTTTATTTGACTTTGTGATTCGACTCGATCTCACAGCACACATTATTTTTAAAAATGCAATATCTCAGGAACTATTGGTCGTATTTAAATAATTTTTTCACACGATTGTTGTAGATTTAGTAGACAATAGAATGGACTGCAAATAAAAGTTAGCATAGTTGTAGAAAATAATAGTTTTAGCCTTTATAGCGTTTAGGGTGACGTCACAAACCACTAACGCTAATTTTTAATTACATTTTTCTCGGGAACTATTAGTCGTATCGATTTGATTTTTTCACTAAATCAATCTGTATTTAAAGAAGAATACTAAAGACTAAAAATAAAAATTATAGTTAGATTATTTGCTTTAAACTTTGAGCACTGTAGCTTAAGTTTTAATCAACTATAGTTTAAACTAACGCACAATTGCACTTTAAGGATAAAGTATCTACCAATCTTACCTTAAGTAAGATTTATTAGTTAGCTATAGTTCTAGCTACCGAGCACTATAGAGTATTTATCTCAGCACCAAAATTAGCTAATCTAGTTTCCAAAATCTTAAACTACTTTCATGTTTTGTTTAAATAGACGCCAAATGGTTGCTTTGGGTGCTTTATCCAGATGTAAGTATGAGAAAGTAGAAAAAGTTGCATAACCTCGTTATAACGCGATTTGAAATTTGTATTATTATTATTATTATTCTTAGTATTTATTATCATTATTGTTATTTTTACCGGTGGACAAAGGCAGGTACATGATGAGAGAGCACAATTTTTTTTTTGTTTTTAGTTGGTCTTTCCACAATCTACTTTTACAATTTTTTGCTACTACGAGCAAGATGAGTAAGAAAAAAAGGAACTCTACTGACGAGCAAACTGTTTTTTTTTTGAAGTGACACAAAAGGTCTCTACCTACAAGTAAACTGATAATTTACTTAAACTAGACAAAAATGAATTCTACTGACGAGCAGATTTGATTAAATAAAAAAAATATGACTCTACTAGCGAGCAAACTGACAACTTGATGAAATAAGAGACTAAAAAACACTACTAACAAGCAAACCTAAAATTTACTTGAGTAAAAATAAAAGAACTCTACTGTCGAGCAAACTGAAATATTTGCTCAATTATTATAAAAAGGATTGAAAATTTGCTTGAATAAAATGTAAAAGGACTCTACTGACGAGCAAACTGAAAATTTGCTTAAATAAAATGAAAAAGGACTTTACTGACGAGCAAACTGATAACGTGGAAAAATGTGGGAGAAAAGGACTCTACTGACAAACGAATTAAAATTTTTTTTACATAAGAAGAGAAGAACTCCACTAGCAAGCAAACTGAAATAGAAGATAGTAAATAAAAAGGTACTCTACTGACAAGCAAATTGGAATAAAAGACAGAAAAGGACTCATATAAATAGGACTCTACTAACGTGCAAATTTAAAATTTGTTTAATATAAAAAAGACTCTACGAACGAGCAAACTGAAAATTTACTCAAGTAAGATTAAAAGGACTCTACTGACGAGCAAATGTTTGTTTGAGTAAAATAAGAAGGACTCTACTGACGAGCAAACTGAAAATTTACTTTAATAAAATAAAAAGGATTTTACAGACGAGCAGACGGAAATTTTAGCAAGAGAAAAATGAACTCTACTGACGAGCAAACCTGAAATTTGCTTAAAGGACTCTACTGACGAGTAAATTGAAAAATTGCTTGAGTAAAATTAGTAAAGACTCTTGAACTTTGTTTGAGTAATATAAAAAGGACTTTACTGACACGCAAGCTGAAAACTTGTTTAATATGAAAAGGACCTTACTGCGCGGGCGAAATAAGAAAGACTGATGAGCAAATTGGAAATTTGCTTAACTAATATGGAAAGGACTCTACTGAAAACTTTCTTAATGTAAAAAAGACTCTACTGACGAGCAAAGTGACTCTTACTCACTTCACGTGTGGGAGAAAAAATGACTCTACTGACGAGCAAACTGAAATTTACTTATATAAATTTGAAACAAATTCTACTGGCGAATTTTACGATCACATTATCTATAAATAAAATTTTAAAAACAACTTATGCGCGTTATAACGAGGTTATGTTAATATTTATAATATTTTTATGATTTAAACAAGTAGTAAGATTATTTAGAAATGGGACCAACTATAATAGTTTTTTTACATTTACCATTTGGACGGTACTGACGAGCAAAGACATAACATAATCTTATTGGCCAATCTGCCTATTGATATATTAAATGGTCACTGGTGTCAAGTGACCAAAATACCTTTATCAGTTCGAAAATCTTGTCAGGACGTTGTTTTTTGTATTTTTAGATGTTTTTTTTGGATTTTAGCATGAGTGTTGTATGTTTTATGTTGCTGCCTAACATCATCATCATTTTAAATAAAATAGTAGTAAAGGTGTAAAATCTACTGATCTACTTTGGTGCATTCTAAAAATATGATAAAGTTGATCCTTTGGATAATGTTGGTCAAAATTGAATTTTGGTCACCAAATTTCTGGATGTCTAGAAACTGCAATATTAACTGATGACCGAAACTTTCTTATGGGTCATTCTTTTACAAACCGAACACCAATTAACCTTGACATTTTAGAATTGTGTGAAAATTTGTTTACAGATAATAATAATAATAATAATAAGATCAGTATGATTTTTTTTTATTGTACTCATTTTGAATTCAACTTTCAGTTAATTGACAAAAAATAATTGTTTTTCCAATTTTTAACAATAAAAGCAGTCTATTATTAACATATGATTTACATACCCTTTCCCCAACTCGAATCGATTGAAATAAACAACATAATTTTTCTTTTACTCTCAACTACAAAATCTCTTTATATGATATTGGAGGCGCAGTTAGATCCAAAGATATTAAATTACAATCATACTGATCTGTTCACCACAACTGGAGATATTAAGATTAATGCAGAGGAAGACCATCAAAATTGAGCAAATTATCCAAATTTCAATCGTAAATATTTTCTTTAAAAAAATTTTTAAAGCAAAATCCTGAAATACGTGTCAAATGATTTTATGTATAATATCTGTAAACAAATTTTTTAGACAATTCTATAATGTCATATATTTTTTTGCCCAAAATCCGTACGATTTGTAAAAGAATGACCTTTATGTGAAACTCTAATGTTGGTTTTGCAGTTTCTTGACATCTAGCAAAAACCAAAAATACCAGCATCATGGTGACAAAACACCATTCTTATGCCTGCAATGTGCCAAAAATTCACCGAAACTCATCAACATGCATGGTATTAAAAAAACATCATTTACAAGTTACCTTTTGCAATTTACCATTTACCATTTGTCATCACCATGGTTTGGATTCTTTTTACATCTGCAATGTGTCATTTACCCATTTATCCATTTACCCATTTATCCATTTATCATTAAGCACGCAATTTGTGGTTTCGTTAACCCATTTTTTGTTATAAATTTGCTTCTTATCGCGTAGTGTAATTGAGTTTTTCGTTTTTTTCCTTTCTGTCGAATAATTAGGATGACCGAACGCGCCCGACTTTTGTCGAACGTCCGAACGTTGTTCAGCAAAAGGAGCGGCCCTAGGGTAAACAATACGGACGTTGAGTTGGCCCGTGAGTATTAAATTGAAATTAAAATTAAAATAAAAGTAATATTGGTAAAATAAAGGGTTTGGGGTTAAGGACTGACTGACAATAAAGGATTTAGAGTAGGTGTATTTGAATGTGGAGGTCCAGTGGTCTATGGAAGAAGAAGTTGGTGAAAATATGTTTGTATGGATCAAAGATGTGGTTTGTACTATTTTTGGAGCCTCGGAGATAAATGCCAGTTGGTCAAAGAAAAAAGACAAGCATATTGAAAATTAGCTTAAATAAGATTAAAGAAATGAGATTCTTGTGACAGACAAATTTACTTATATAAGTGAAGAAGACGATCAAACGAAAAGTTTTCTTAACTAATATAAATACGACCCTACTGACTTGATGTTTTTTGGGCGTAGGACTCTACTATCGAATAAAGTGATAACTAATTTTAGTGAAAGTAAAAGAAGTCCACAAGTTATGAGGCAATTCTGCCGTAAGATAGACGTTGCCATGACAACGCTATCTTATGCTTGTTCCTTTGTAGTGAAACTATGAAAATGTCCATCTATTTCGTACGATCAGACGTATTTTAGATATAAACAAAACAAGGAAAAATGTTTGAGATCGGAGATCGGAGTATTATGGATCAGAGACATGGTTTGCACTATTTTGGAAAATTCAAATGTTGCATATGTGTTCTCTTGGATCAGAGACAAGCTTTATACTATTTTGAGAAAATTTCTTGAAGTTTCTTAAAGAAGAATGTAGAAGACCAAATGGTGGAATGAAGTTTTTAGATGAATAAAGAAAATGTAGAGTTCTTTTACTCTATTGACGAGCAAACTGAATTTTTTTTGAGTACGGGTACAAGAGGACACTACTAACACACAAACTGACTACTAATTTCAGTGAAATGAAAGAACTCTACTGACGAGTTAGTTCAGCCTTTATTTAAATAAGATAGGACTGAACTGACTGAAAAATTAAGGAATTAAAAAAAAGATTCTACTGACGGGGAAACTGAAAATTTGTTTAGATGATATAGAAAGGACTTCACTGATGAGCAAATTGAATATTTGCTTAAATAATACGGAAAAAACTCTACTGACGAGCAAACTGAAAATTTTCTCAAGTAAGATAAAAAGGACTCTACTGATGAGCGATCTTAAAATTTAATTAAGAAAGATAAATAGACAAAAATAAGAGAGGAAAAGGACTCTACTGACGAGCAAACTAAAAAAATTGTTGAAGTAAGATAAAAAGGATTCGACTGACTAGCAACTGAAAATTTACTTATATTAAGTGAAAAAAGGACTCTACTGACAAGCACATTGAAAATTTGCTTAAGATAAAAAGGATTCTACTGACAAGCAAACTGAAACTTTTCTCGAATGCAAATTAGGACATGGTTTATACTATTTTGAGAAAATTAGAAGTTTCTTGAAGAACATTGTAGAAGACCACGTGTAATAACGTTCCTAGCTGTAAATGAAAGCAGAAATTCTACTGACGAGCAAACTGAATTTTTGTTTCGAGTATGAATGCAAAAGAGACTCTACTAACGAACAAACTGACAACTAATTTCAGTAAAAGTAAAAGAACTCTACTGACGAGCAAATTTAGCCTTTATTCAAATAATATAAGACTCTACTGCAAATTGAAGAAAAGGACTCTACTGACGGGGACAATGAAAATTTTCTGAAGTAAAATAAAAAGAACTCTACTGACGAGCAATTTGAAAATTTGCTCAAGTAAAATAAAAAGGACTCTACTGACGAGCAATCTGAATATTTGACAAAAACAAAAAAGGCCAAAGGACTCTACTGACGGGCAACATGAAAATTTGCTCAAGTAAAATAAAAAGGGCTCTACTGACACTCAAACCGTTTTTTTTAAGAACTCTACTAAGGAGTAATTTTAGCCTTTATTTAAGTAATATAAGACTCTACTGACGAGCAAATTGTAGGAAAATGACTCTACTGACGAGGAAACTGAAAATTTGTTGAAGTAAGCTAAAAAGGACTCTACTGACAAACAAATTTATTTTTCTTGAAAAAAGAACTCTACTAAAGAACAAATGGGAAGTCTTTTTAGTATAAATATAATAAAAACGTATAAACATAATGAATAATATCAAAAGGACTCTACTGATGAGCAAACTGACTAAATAATTAAATACGGAATGGAAAAGGACTCTACTGATGAGCAAACTGAAAATTTGCTTAACTGATATAAAAAGGACTCTACTGACGAGCAAACTGAAAATTTGCTTAACTGATATAAAAACGACTCTACTGACGAGCAAACTGAAAATTTGCTTAACTGATATAAAAAGGACTCTACTGACGAGCAAACTGAATATTTGCTTAAATAATGAGGAAAGAACTCTACTGACGAGCAAACTATTTTTTTTTTAAAGGAACTCTACTAACGCGCAAATGGAAAGATTTTTTAGTATAAAAATAATAAATAATATAATATAATATATTTGCTACTGACGAGCAAACTGAAAAATTTAATTAGAAGGAAAAAGGGACTCTACTGACGAGCAATCTGAAAATTTGACAAAAATATGAGAGGAAAAGGGACTCTACTGACGGGGAAACTGAAAATTTGCTCAAGTAAAATAAAAAGGACTCTTCTGACGAGCAAACTAGAAATTTTTCTAAAAAAGAACTCTACTGACGAACAAATTGAAAGTTTGCTTAGTATGAAAATAATAAAAAAGAATAAATAATATAAAAAGGACACTACTGATGATCAAACTGAAAATTTGCTCAAATAATGAAGAAAGGACTCTACTGACGAGCAACAATAAAATTTGCTCAAGGTAAAAAGAACTCTACTGACGAGCAACCAGAAAATTTTAACAAATAAAGAACTTTGTTTAGTAAGAAAAAACTTCTTTGAGATAGCAAAATAGGACTCTACTGACGAGCAAACTGAAAATTTAATTAAGAAATTTAATGAACTGGAAATTTGCTCAACCAAGTGAAAAGGACTCCACTCTTAACTAATATAAAGAAAAACAACTTCACCAGTTACCCACCTTGACCAAGTATTGAAGTATTTTCTTATATTTTCTGATCAATAAATTTGTTGATAAATCTGGTTGAGAAATATATATATAGAGCTCTGTAACGATCAGAGATATGGACAAGTATATATAGTACCAAGGAAAAAAATATATAGCTATAAATCGCAGGATGATACTTAAAAAATACCAGATTGGAAATGTTGACATTATGAAACTTAATGGTGATAAAAAAATTGATCTGTATTGATCAGAGATCTGGACACCATGATACATATTTTCCATAACTATTAATACTCATACAATGTTTCCATCAGCAAAATTGAATGAAAATCTAATAGTACTGACATCAAGTCTTAGTAATTCTGTTTATGAAAGTTATTAGTGATAAAAAAATGATCTGTATTGATCAGAGATCTGGATACCATGATACATATTTTCCATAGCAATTGATGCTCATACTATACTCCAATCAACCTTAGACTTTCTTCTCCCCAGACCACTGGACATTCGTAGCCCTACACCATATATCTATTGCCACTAAATCTCTTATCATTCCCCAGATGGCTTTGCGTTCTCCCAAGAGGAAGGTGGCGCCATCACCCAGGCGGAGGTGATACGAGCTTACGACACGAATTTACCAAAACCGGAAGGATTATAAAATTCGTCAGATATTCGTCATATTTATCATTGTTGTCGTTGTTATTGATAATTGTTTATTCGATTAGTTTTTATCTTTCGTGATGGTGAGAGTTTAGTAGTCAACAAAAAAAAACGAACTGGTTAGATCACACTTGGAGAAAAATAAAATGAAGCAATGGTTCATTTCTAAGATACGGTTTTAATTCGGCATGTGCATGATTTTGTTTGGTCGAGATGGTGCGTTTTTTTCGGTTTTGTAGATGCAACTTTTTTTAGGATTGAGATAGACAAATATTGTCTTTGGCTGGTAGAAACTAGATAAAATTCTCTATGAAACGGTATAATTGAAATTTGGATAAGATATATTAGAAGAGTTCTACTATATACTTCAGTAGATCAATACTGAAATCTTTCACTCAATTGTTTTAATTATGGTGAATTTTTTTGGTTTTATTGATGTAAATTTTTTGGGGATTGAGATAGATAAAATTTGTCTTCGGCGTGTAAAAACTAGATAAAATATTCCTTAAAACAGAGTTGCTTAAATTTTTTTAAGATACTTTTGTAAAGTTCTATTAAATATTTTAGAGAGCAGTACTGAAGTGTTTGGATTTAATTTGGTATAAGTAGGATTTTGTGCATTCTATTTAAATAAGGAGGGTACATTTTTTTTTTTTTTTTATGTAACTATTTTATTTGATTAAAATTGTACTTTTTGTCTTTGGCATATAGAAACTAGATAAAATTATCTATGAAACAGAATAATTGAAATTTTTTTAAGATAATTTAAAAGAGTTGTACTCAAATTATATAACTTAAGAGCAATACTGAAACATTTCACGTCTTTTAGTTTAAATAAGATTCGGATTTTTTGGTTTTTTGGATGTAACTTTTTTCAAAATTAAAATAGAAGATTTTGTCTTTGGCGTGTAGAAACTAAATAAAATTTTCTATAAAATAGAATACTTGACATGTTTTTAATATTATTTAAAAGAGTTCTACTGAATACTTAAGAGCGATACTGAATTGTTTCACGCCTGGTAAATTTTTATAGTTTTTGGTTTTTTGGATGTAACTTCTTTTACGATTGAAATAGAAACTTTTGTCTTTAGTTAGTGAAATGAAATTATCTAGAAAACAGAATAATTCAAAATCGTTTAAGATGATTTAAAAGAGTTTTACTAAATACTTAAAAGCAATCCTAAGATGCTTCACCTCTTGGCTTGAATCAAATATGGAATAAGAATGGTACATTTTTTGGATGTACAGTTTTGGATTGGTACAGTTTTTTTGGATGTAACTTTTTTCTGGATTGAAATAAAAGATTTTTGTCTTCGGCTAGTAAAAACTAGATAAAATTTTCAAAAAACTGGAATAGTTAGAATTGCCCTAAGATAATTAAAAAGAGTGCTACTAAATTCTTAAGAGCAATACTGAAATTTTTACGTCTTGGTTTGAATCAGGATGGTGCATTTTTTTTGTTTTTTTGGATGTACTTTTTTTTAGGATTGAGATGAAAGATTTTTGTCTTTGGCTGGTAGAAACTAGATGAAATTTTCTATGAACTAGATTAATTAGATTTCTTCTAAAGTAATTTAAAAGAGTTTTACTAAATATATCAGTAGATCAATACTAAAATGTTTTACTTCTTGGTTTGAATCAAGATGGTACATTTTTTGGTTTCGTGGATATAACTTTTTCCAGGATTGAGATGGAAGATTTTTGTCTTCAGCTTGTAGAAACTAGATAAAATTTTGTATACAATGAACTAATTCAAACTCTTATAAGATTATTTCAAAAAGTGCTACTAAATACTTAAAAGGAATTCTAAAATAATCTTGGTGTGAATCAGATATGGAATCAGGACGGTACATTTTTTTTACTTTTTTGGAAGTAATTTTTTTATAAGGATTGACATAGACAATATTTGTCTTTGGCTAGGAGAAACTAGATAAACTTAACTATTAAACAAAATATTTGAAATTTTTCTGAAATAATTTAAAAAGAGTTCTACTTAATACTTAAGAGCAATACTGAAATATTTCACATCTTGGTACATTTTTTTGATTTTTTGGAAATAACTATTTTCAGAATTAACATAGACAAAAATTGTCTTAGGCGTGTAGAGACTAGATAAAATTTCCTAAAAAACAGAATAGTTAAAATTCTTCTAAGATAATTATTATCTGAAGAGTTTTACTGCAATCAATACTTATATACTGGCACTTTAGTGCCAGACTAAAATATTTTTCTACTCTTTCTTTAAAGGGACATTTTAGTCTAAAAATGATAAGAAATCCATTTTATTTATTTTTAATATTTAAGTTTATTTATTCAAAAATATGTGTACCAGAGTATTTTACAAAACTTCAATTATTTTTTGGAGATAAAACTATTTGACCACGATAATACTACTCTACGAAACTTTATAGGCGTTTTCCTTGAAATTATAATATTTTGGGAGCATTCTAGTCTAAAAATTGTAAGAAATCAATTTTATTTTTCTTTACGATTCAAGTTTAATTATTCAAAAATATGTGTGCAAAAGGATTTTACAAAATTCAAATTATTTTTGAAGATAAAACTATATCCCAGAAGATAATACTCATCTGCGAATCTTCATGGGCGTTTTCTTCGAAATGTTTTTTTTAAGATACCCACGATTTCTCGACTTCTACTAAACCGATTTAGTTGAAATTTTTACAGAGCCTTCTTTAAAGACTTTTCTTCAATATAAAAATTTATTAATAAAATTATAATATCAGAATAATATGATATCAGAGTCTGTTTTAGGTAGTGACTCATGGAAAAATCTAATATTCAGCCAACATACAGTCTGACTTTTGCAAAATCCTAAATTCGTGGATAACTTTATGCTTTATTATAAATATAAATATACATCATCAAAAATATATTTTGATATCTATTTTTTTCCTTTCTTAAACTACATCATATTTTAAAATCGTGAATTAGATGTGGAATAATAATCTAATATTTAATCATTTTTTTTCTACAAGTGTGATTTTCAAGTTTGTTTTCACTCGTTAAAATATTTTAGGTATCAAGGAATATTTATATATATATATATATATATATATATATATATATATATATTCGATGATACCTAAAATCCAAAATTTGGCTATCTCGATGTTCTGCACAAATGCTTTTGGTTAGTTAGGAGAAATTTTGCTAAATTGTTTATTTATTTGCAAAAATTAAAAAAAATAGACTTTAGTATATTGTTTATATAAAAATTGTTTACGTTACGTTTTATATATATATGTATATTTTATAAAATTTGTCTTAAAATTAATAATATTTTATTAACGTTGAAGCTTTACTTAACAAATTTTTGTAGTTTCAATTTTTTGAAACTGTCTAGTTGTTTATACATTTATTTTAAGTATATATTATTTATATATATATATATATATATATATATATATATTTCTAGCACAATTATATGTGTGATTGTTTATTATAAGACGATTTATTTATTTTAGTCTAATGGCTTTTATAATTATAATTGTTGATAATTTTATTTATAATATGAAAGTTATTTAATTTATTAATTTTAGGCTTAAGGAGTAAAGTACCTTATATCTATATGTCTAGGATATCTATATATGTATGTATATTAGGGTAGTCCTTAATATGGACTTTTTAGAATTTCCTTGCTCCCAAGGGCTCAAAAGGTTCTAAATTGATAAAAAAACAATTCTCTAAAAGTTTTAGCTCTTAATATTAACATTTAGATAGTGCGCAATTTAATTAACAGTTTCTTATATTTATTAATAACATATGTCACTAAGTAAATTCTTGCGCCATCTGCGATAGCATTTGTCAACTTTACTTAAAAATATTTATAAACACTTAACCTCTAATTAAATCCATGTGGACTGTTTAATGAAATATTTTTTCATCATGGCATCAAAATTACATGTCTGCTATCACAGATGGCGCAAGTATTTACTTAATGGCATTTGATAATAAAAAATATCTGAAACTTTTAATTGAATTGCGGTCTATCTGAAAGACAATATTTAAAGCTAATTTTTTTAGAGCATGTTTTTTTTATCAATTTGGAATCATTTAGGCCCTTGGGAGCAAAGCAATTCGAAAATGTCCATATTAAGGACCACCCTGATATATAAAATATAAACAGTTGTTTGATGATCGATTGAATTTTTTATCAAATTAAAATAATATATTATTTTACTAAAAAATCTGAATAATTTTTGGTACAAATATTATTTTTATTGGATATGTTTGCTCTCTTATCTTCGCTGTGTTATTTTATCTTAAAATAAGATGCAGAAATTGAAGTGAACTATTCTATGAATATCTATTTATTTATTTCTTAAGTTTGGGGAATACTTAAAAAATTAGAGTGTAATCTTATCCAAGAGCTATTTTATTTTATTTTCGTCCTATCAACTTTTATATTTAAAAATATTTTCTCGAATACTCGTAAGCTTCTTCTCTTATCTTACTGAGTTAAAATCTTCTACTTAAAATTTCTATTCTGGTACAAATATTATTTTTATTGGATAAGTTTGTTCTCTTATAAGAGAACTATTTGTATATATATATATATATATATCTTAACTTTGTTATTTTATCTTAACATAAGATACATAAATTCAAGCAAAACTGAGCTATGAATATTTATTTATTTATTTTCAAGTTTGGGGAATACTTAAAAAAAATAATTTGAAATAAGGGAGTGATCTTATCCAAGAGCAATGTTATCTTATTTTGTTTTATCAATTTTTATATTAAAAAAATTAATAAGCTTGCTCTCTATTTTACTTAAATTAGAAAATTTTAATATTAATTACTGTATTAATTTATTGAAAAATTAAATTTTACTTACTGAAGAAGTTAAAATCTTCTACTTAAGATTATTTTTAAGAGAGAGAAATCTTATCCGAGACTTATCCATTTTATTTTGTAAAATTTGGTCGATCAATAGATTTGCTGAAATTATCTATAAGAATCTGCTTATTCAAAAAAAATCTATTTTTGATGTCAAGTCTTAAGATAACTATTCTTAAGTATCAATAAAAAAAGTAAAAAATAAAATAAATTGTGTATATTTTTCATAAATATTTATATGTAACTAATTTTTGCATAGACAGAGGTTGCTTTAATGATTTATAAAGATCCTCTAAATCTGAGGATAAAAAATTATTACACCTTATTTTATTTGCCATAAAATATTTTATAATTTTGGATTAAAAATTCAAAACATTCAAAAAATTACCCAGGCTGAGCACAGTCTAAGCGTCACTCTAGTACAACTGTTTACCCAAGAGCGTTTAGACTGTTTATGCACTTGGAGCACTTTTCAATTTCGTGAAAACTATTGAAAAATGTGAAAATGCCG